CTAATTTTCATGTGTTGGGAGTTTGGTGATCCCCTAGGCATGTTAAAATATTTCACAAACTGTGTTTTACCAACAGTTCCCACAGTATGCCTAAGAATCCCAGATCTATAAAAACTTAAGAGTTTGGCAGCTGTTTGGTACCAGGATACAAAACCAGTCCTTGGCCTCAATGTTAAGGTGGAAATTTGTCAACATAAGTTCACACACACACAGGACTCTTCAAAACTCTACAGACAATGCAGAAGATCTTCCTGAAGAGGGGGCACCTCTGTCTACGCATGTCTGTAGGATCTGCAGAAGCCAGATCCCATTATTACAGTGTCTACTGATTCATAGTTATTATTGAAGAGAGAGAGGAGAAGGAAGGAAGAATGGAGACAGAGGTAGAGAAGATGACCGAGATAGAGCCTCCCTTCCTATCTACCCTTTTGTAGGAACAGAATTATGTCCACCATTTTCATGTCTTATGTGCATATGTGGCTTGCACTTCACAAAGGGTTTCCTTGCTAGCGAAATGAACATCTGTCTAAAGATTGTGTGGTTTATTTCTAGTTACTCAGCTACAGTCAGGCCAGAATTCACAGATCATTTATATGACACTTCCTGGATTCCAAGTATTTTCAGCTTTTAAAGGAGAAAGGCTCCGCTTTAAAAGGCTAAGTTTAACTCCAGGCACAAGACTTGCAATTGGTTCCAAAGACATATTATAAAGCTTATGTCCAAAGCATATGTTTCCAACTGTCTGTAAAAATGTCACCTTGCTATGGTATCCCTTGATACAGCCCTTGCCTCTCTAGGCACTGGTGTGCTGGTGAGTTGATATTTAATGATAATAAACATATTCTATTCTCTCTGTTTAGTTCTACACAATCACGTGAAAGTCCCTTCAGTTTCAAGTCCATATCTTTTGGAATGTAGTTCTATGAAGAATGGTGACAGATAACCACATAATGAGAAATACATTAAAAATACACCGAAGTCCTCATACCCCAGTGAGTCCACATCGGCGCCAACCACAAACTAGTTCTGTGTCACTGTAGTCTTCTTTTTCTCAGAGTAACACAGAAATGAAATCAGATGGTGTGTGTCCTCTCAGGTCTGGTTGGTTTCATTTACAAAGGGCATATGAGGTCCAGGCAAGTTTCTGCACGGAACAGTGAATTGTTCCTGATTATTACTGGGCAGCACTCCAGCCGGCAGACACACTAGAGTTGGTTTATTTGCCTGCTAGACTTGTTTCTGCTGAAGAATTAAACTACTATAGGTGGGTGGAAGAGATGGCTCAGTGGTTAAGAGCACTGTCTGCCTCCAAAGGACTCAGGTTTGATTCCCAGTACCTACATAGTGCCTCACAAATTCTTGTAACTTAACCTCTGGAGGGAATCCAGTCTCTGTGGTATCCATGGGTACCTGAATATATGCATTAATAAAAACAAAAAAAAATCTCATAAAAAGAAAAACAATTAGTATATTCCACACTCAAAGAGAAAGAGGTGTTCAGCCTTCTCTGAAGAAATGTCAAGAAATCTGTGGACATGTACTGATCAATCATATTAAAGTCTTTCAAAAACTGGGCAAAATTACCTCCTCGGGAAATATTTTCAGTCACTTTTATACACCAGAAATAAAATTACCATATAACCATATATTTAATTGTGCCTGGCATAAATCTTTCAGAGCTCAAAGACAAGAATTCACCCCTGGTAGTGTCTTACCAGTGAAGCAATGTACTTAGGCTGCAAATAAAACCCTGTCCTGTGCTCCCTTTAGTTTAGGTATGATTGGATTATAAAAGACAGCATTACAATCTTGCAAACCTCATTTATAAAGTGGGAGGAAAGGAAGGGGGTATCTTTGTAAAGAACATGACTGTGCTTTAGACACATGCCCGGAGGCACATACATGGATCCTGACATATCAAGAGGAAGAGGGAAGAGGGTTGTGTGCTTGAGACATGCTCTCAAACTAAAAATAGACACAGGCTTGAGCATATTGAAGGGGTAAACAGGGAGCATAAAAGGCCTCTGGCATTCAATTTCAATTTTAAAATAATCAATCCCTGGGGCTAGAGAGATGGACCAGTTAAATACACTGGTTGCTCTTTTGGAGGAACTTTGTTAAGTTCCTGGCACCCACATGACGGCTCATGTAAGTCTGTAACTCCAGTCCCAGGGGTGTCCGCAGGCACCGCACACACGCGGTACACAGACGAATGTGCAGTCAAGACAACCATACACATAAAGGAACAAATTTTCAAATAATAACAAAAATATTATTGAGGAAGGTGTTAGAGAGACGAGAAAATTCACAGTGGGAGCAGTTAATAGTCATTTATCATACCATATTATGGAACATTTTTAATCCCAGGCTGAGAAGGAGAGAATTCCATAAAGCCACCAAAGAAACAGAGAGAGTACTACATCAAATGGTGATCATTTTGACGTCTCGATTCTGTTGCGGAGATCTCTTCTAAGAAAACATCCAACACAACACATTGTATCTAGAACCTAAAGGCCAATACCCTGCAAGTAGAAAGCAGTGATACTACAATCTATCAGATTATTAGTCTTTTATGCAGCCACGAAGGATGAGGATGACAGAGACAACCTGGGTGCAGAGTAACCTTCCTATAGTGTTCCAATGGAAAGAAGAGAAAGGACACAGCACGTGGAAAGATGTCTTTGCGAAGAGGTAAGCAGGAAACATTACAATATTTGCAGGTAAAGATGGCTATTTCTGGTTGGCATAGTTTGGAATGCATTTTTCTCCTTCCCACTCTGTATATTTCTTTGAATGCACTGACTCTTAGCAAATCAGTTTACACTAGGGACAGTGAGATGGCTCAGCAGGTAAAGGTACTTGCTGCTGGTCCTGACAACCTGACTTCCATTTCCAGCACCCATATGGTGTGTGGAGAAAACTGACTTCTGAAAGTTATCCTCTGACCTCTACATGTACACACACACACACACACACACACACACACACACACACACACACGTAGCAGAATGTAATTAATACTAAAAACATACCAAAGTGACTACTTCTCAGAGAATTAAGAGAAATCTTGAAATGGCTGTCCATATAAGAAAGAAACAACATTGTTTATCTGTGGTTTGTGGCTCAGAATTTACAGAGCTGTATTTTAGGTACATTTTTACAATTCTTTCCTCAGTCCAAACCCTTTTTCTCACCAGCCCCATTCATTGTTGGTTTTGAAAGCTTTGTGGCCCTAAGCACTGGACATAAGGGACTCAGACTCAAGAACAACATGGTGGTGTGTAAAACACTGAGTTACTATGGCAGATCTCTTACTGCAGCAACTAAGTCCTGAGTTGTTCTCGCATTCTGGGACCCTGTGAAAACTAGAGCTCTGCCCAGGAGGTTGAGGGAGTCTCGGGGATGAGGCACATGTGGACTTCCTAACTTTGACGCATGCTTAGAGGTAAGAACTCGTGATGGCTCTGGGGCCAGGAGGCTGGGGCCCTTGGCAGTGACTGGCTACGAGCTCGGCTACCTTTATCGAGATTTTAAGTATCTGCTGAGGGCTCCATGTCCCACCTAGGGCCAAAGCCTGCCAGAGGAGGCCACATAAGAGTAGTGGCAATAAGCTGTGGTAACTGTTAGGATACGAAAGAAGGAATTCTGTGAATGGCTAGTGAGACAGCTTTGCATGGGAGCGGAAGTGAGGCTCCGGTTTGACCCAGAATAGGAAATTAGTAAAGCATGGAGAAGCCAAGAGCAGAGGTGGGAACAGGAAGGCCTTTCCTAGATCAACAGCCTTGGAGTCAGTCCTCCTGGGCGGGACATCATGTCCTGAGCACCTGAGAAGCCAGGTATTATTGAGGAGGGAGGCGCTAACCTCTGTCTCGTTTTTTGCAGGGGTCTCCTAATCCAGAGGCCTTATGGTTTGAAGGGTAAAACAACTGGGTGACCTGAGAACAGCAGAGTGCCCCTCCCATTTTTCCAACCCACTCAGTCAGTGGAAGTACTTGACCACCTCATAGCCAAGGCTCAAATGGGTGCTAATTAGGAGACTGGATTTCTCTGTCTCTGTCTCTTTCTTTGTGTGTGTGTGTGTGTGTGTGTGTGTGTGTGTGTGTGTGTGTGTGCGCGTGCGCGCGCGCGCGCGCGCGCGCGCGTGTGTAAGCGAGACAACAACAACCTCAGCAGGTGTTCCTCAGAAGACGTCCAGCCTGCTTTTTGAGACAGGGTCTCTCACAGCCTGGAGCACAGGGATTCAGGCAGGCTGCTGGAGTCAAGGACTGGCTGCTCCCCAGAACTGGGATTATAAATGCACAGGCCTCCAAGCCAAACATTTCACTGGCTTCTGGGCCCCGGTATTTACCAGGTCAGCATTCTAAACAGTGCAGACCAGCTCTCCAGGCTCACGGGAGGCCCTCTCCAGGGGAACTCCCTCCCCTTATCAAAGTTCTTGGTGCTCTGGCACCTGGGCCCCTTGGATTTCAACTGCAGAGTCCTTTGAAGGACTGGCTTTGGTCGGCTGCTGGCCAGTCTGCTGGGGCGGGGGCGGTGGGAGGCAGGCAGGACCAGAGCTAGCCGGGTCAGCGCCGACCTGGGCGGGGCCGACAGGTGGAGGCGGATCGGACCTGAGGACTCCCTGCCGGGCCCTGTCACCTGTGGGTTTGGCTCAGCTCCGGGGAAGGCACCAGCTCCTCCCTCTCTGGAAATCTGCGCATCCGTGGGGTGGGTTGGGGACAGCCGCACGTGCCCCCACCTTGGGTTCTGCTGGGAACCTGCTCCTGTATACTTTGGGAGACTTGCAGGTTTTTTTTTTTTTTTTTTTTTTTTTTTTTTGTCTGTTTTGGTTTGGTTTGGTTTGGTTTGGTTTGGTTTGGTTCGGTTTTAGGACTTTCCAACTACCTCAGCAGCAGGGGGAACGACCCAGTGGAGGTGAGCTGCTGTTGCCGGTAACAGCTGAAGGCAGACACAGGACTGAGGAAAGAAAGCTCCTGCTCCCCACGAACTGGCCATCACAGCCCTAAGGAAGACCTGCTCAATCAAGACCCCGGTCTCTTGTAAGTTTGGACTGGGGAGCGGCTGAAGCCTAAGGGGCGGCAGGGGGATGCCTGTTCTAAGAAAACTGGGTAAAGTGACCTGCTGGCAAGACTCCCTCCGGGCAGTGGTTCCTGCCCAGCAGCCCTAGCTGCCTTCAGCTCGTTTGTGTACAATTAACAATGGTCTGCACAGAGCCTGGCTCTGCCTTCAATTCTTCCTCCTCCTGGAGCTCGCCTGTCCAAGGAGTTCAAGGTCAGCTGTTGGACACTTTTTCACCTGATGCAAATATTAGAATCCTTCATCTCCCTTTTCTTCTTTCTGGCCTCTGCCCCTTCCCCTGTTCACATGTAGAGTTTTCTCTTTACCTTCCTTAACTTTCTTTCCCCACCTTTAAGTTGAATTTATTTTCCCTACACAATATTTTTATTAATTCTTTGGAAGTGTTATATATACATACAGAGTATTTGGATCACATTCCCTGCCACCCCTTCCCCTGACGTCACCCAAATCCACTCGACCGCGGCACTCCCCCTTCCCGACTTAAGGTTTGTTTTTTGTTTTGAAATAATCCACAAAGTCCAATTTGCGCCGTCCATATACGCCTGTGTGGGCTCCCCCACTGAAGCGTGGTCTCTCTAGCAGGAACCACACCCTTAAAACTGCCCCTCCCTGGCCCTGAAGCCATCACTGTTGTCAGTTCCTCAGCGAGGGGTGGGGGCTGGTGAGGTGAGCCCCTCCTCCCACCTTCCAGGAATTTCAAGCACACTGGGGAAAAAAAGTGAGCTCTTTTTCTTAGCAAGTGCTTATGGATACTTGGAGCTGTCTTTCTTTCTTTTCCTTCCTTCCTTCCTTCCTTCCTTCCTTCCTTCCTTCCTTCCTTCCTTCTTTTTCTTTCTTTCAATACTAATAGCCTCCAAAAGTGCACTCAAGAAGACACTAAAAAAGAAGTGAAGTCATCTTCCATGTGACACTGTAAAAGGGGACTGATATTAAAAACCATGCAAATTCATCTTCTGTGTGGAGTCCAGTACTGCTGCTTCTCTGGGAAACAGATATTTGACATTGGAACTTCTTTCCCAAGATAATGTCAGCTGCTCTACTTAGCCATATGTAGAGCAGATTGCACTGTCTCTCACCAAGGGAAATTGGGGGTTCTCTTGCCAGAGTCTCCCTGAAAAAGAGTGTGTTTAAGCTCTAAGATATTTTGAGGCACCTTTGAAAGTCTTGGTATCAGGACATCCCAGGGTTTCAAAGCTGTTGCAGTCAGGAATACTAACAGCTTGACAAATTTGCTTATTTCTGATAATAATAATAATAGTGTTTACAATCAATCACTCATAGTGGCAGCCTCTGTAACCACTCTGTCAGCACATTGTAGGTGGGACTTCTCCAGATCATTTTTTTTAATGTGGTTATTTTTTTACTGGTTATTAAGATTTCTGGACCCTGCTCTCCACTAGGCAGAATCAGAGGCCAGAGGTTACGGCGGGAACTTAGCAGAAAGAGTTGAACTGTGTTCCGAGTTCTAGATACAGATCAATCTTGAAGATCCACTGAGCCCTTTTCTATATTGATTTTGAGGTCTCTAAAAGTCCTTAACTTGTGTGTGAGTGTGATTGTGTGTGTGTTTGTGTTCTCTCTTAAGTTTCAGAGTAGGGACTTCTCTGGAAGAGCATTTGAATTCTTCTTAGTGTACTGATGCTTGTGTCCAGTGCTGGGGAGCATTGCTCTGCAGAATCTGGACTGTGGACTTTCCTCCAGGTTCCAGAAGGTATTTTGGCATGCTGGACATCTTGACAGCTGACTAAGGCCATGGGTTTCAGGACTAAGGAGACCTTAGACAAATTACTTTTTCTCTTCATGTCTCATTTTGTCCTGCCTCAGAGGATAATCCACTAGAGTGTTGTGCAGATTACTGAAGAGGTATGAAGCATGAACTGTACAGGTCAGGTGGTCAGTGGTCATTCAACAAATAGCAACACTTATTTCAATGTCCATTTTCTTATGATTTTTAAAAAATTCTTCATGATTGTTTGCTTTCACACAAAGTCTCCTGCAGTCCAGGCTAGTCTCAAAATCTCTTGGTTGCTGAGGGTGACCTTGAACTCCTAATTCTTCTATTACCATTTTTCTTTTATTAAGATACAATTTATCCCGAAATAAATATCAAGTCCTACACATAGGTGTCCAACATTTAAACAAGTACAGGATGAAGAATATATTGAGCCTGTTGCTGAATGAGTTGCCTAGACGTGAGCTGTGAGACCAGAGAGCATGTGTGAGCTCAATTGGCTTTATAACACATCAGAGCGCACAGCCACAGGTATTTCCTCCATCTGCCCTTTGCTCTGTGTGCACACCTCAGAGTTGGATTCTTAGGGTGAATATTCACCCATTGACCTGTGTAGGGAAGATGGAGAATAGGCAGGTGAGTCTCAAAGCCATTCATGCTTGTTTGGAGTGAACACATAAACTCCTTGGCTTTCCTTCCAAGCATTTTCTCTGTTGACTCCAGGTAGACCTTGCCAAGTTGTTTCACCTCCGGGCTTTGCTGTCCTCAAAAGTAACATGGGGAGTCTCCCTGCTTTTGAATCTTTCCTTTAAGGGTATTTCCTTCCTGGAGTGTAGGAAGACTAAGCTGTGTCCACGGCGCTTTCCTGTCAGGTGTCCTCAATAGGTGTCCTGCCCTACGACCCTCACCTTGATTAGACACAGGGAAACACTGAACTGTGTTTCCATCAGGCCAGGACTCATGACTCCCCTCCACATCATACAAGCCGAGCACTGCAGACTGGAGAGGCAGCTCAAGAATACTTATTGCTCTTCCAGAGGATCATAGTTCCATTCCCAGCACACAATGCAAACAGCTCATAACTGCCAACAACGCCCGCTCCAGCGGATCCCACACTCTCCCCAGGCCTTCAGGGACATTCATACACACATGGCATACATACATACATACATACATACATACATACACATACACATACCATATAAAATATATTTTAAAAGCAAACCAAGAATATGTTATCTGGCATAATTTGGAATAAATTCTAAGATTATGTTTATTCCTATTGCTACTGTGCTCGTTCTTCAAACACTACAGGCTGGGCTTTAATCAAGGTGTGCCTTTAGTCTGAGAAGGGGAAAAGGTCTCCCACTCTGCATATGTTCTCTTATCAGAAAAGAAATCAAGCCGGTTGGTGATGGCACAGACCTTTAATCCCAACACTTGGGAGGCAGGGGCAGTCAGATCTCTGAGTTAAAGGCCAGCCTGGTTTACACAGTGAGTTTCAGGATAGACAAAGTTACACAGAGAAACCCTGTGTCAAAAAACCAAAAGAAAAAGAAAAGAAAGAAGAGAAGGAGAGAAAGAAAGAAAGAAAGAAAGGAAGGAAGGAAAGAAGAAAGAAAAGAAATCTGCATTCCTATAAGAACCTGATGGTATCTCTAGTCCAAGCAGCATTCATTGCTTCCTTTTGAGCAATTAAAAAAAAAAAAAGCAAAAAAAAAAAAAAAAATTCTGAAAAAGCAATGCAAGAGGTATTGGGGATAGACATTTTGGAGCACAAAATGCGAACTGAACATTCTGAGAAGGAACTCTGACAGAATGTTGCCCTCTTGATTTTTAAATACAAAAGTCTTTTCCTTTGAATTCAAACTCCAGTCTGCCTTAGTTCTCTCTCTCCCAAATGTTGTGCAAGCTGACTGAATAAATGAATACCTTGAGTTGCCCCTTTCTGCCTCTTACAACTACGTGACTTCAAAGGAAAGAGTCTTGTTTCAATGCCCCAAAAGGCTTGGGAAAATCCTACCTACCACCAGTAGATAGAAAAGAGGATTCAACTGTTCTATTTTTGTTCATTGTAGAGAACAATTGTTCTGCAGGTCCAGACTAGCCCTATTGGTTGCTGAAAGCCTAGGTCAGGCCAGGTGTCCATTCACATCAGACCATGATGATAGGGCATAAGAAATTAGGTGAGAATTATTCTTTTAGGATATCCATCCCCTTTGTTCGTTTTCTTCCACTTAATCAATTGACTTGGACATTTGTTTATTGTACTGATACACATAAGGTCCAGCCAGAATCAAGCTGAGACTGAGCCAAGCTGCTTAGCTCAAGTGTAAATGTACCCAGAGCCGGAGTCAACATTCCTGGATGTTCGTCCTACGATGTTCCATCCCGGAAATGTTCATTTGAACAGAGCTCCAAGGTGATGCTGTTATCTCAGAAACGGTCGTTTTGTGCACGTGGTGCACTTGCAAGTGTGTGCATGTGTTCATGTGTATATAGGTGTGCATGTACCTAGGTGGAGATCAGTATCAGGGCTCTTCCCTGATTGCTCTTCACTTTCTCCTCACTGAACCTGGAGCTAGCTAATTAGACTACGCTGGACAGCCAGAGAGCCTTGAGGATCTGTCTGCTTCTGCCTCTCCAGGTCTGGGAATATCAGCATGCTACGATGCCCAGCTTTAAAAAAAAAAAAAAAAAAAAAATGGTTTCCAGAAACCAAACTCAGATCTCTATGCTGGCATGGTAAATAGATACGTTACCAAATGAGTCATGTCGGTAGCTCCCTTTCTCCTCCTCCTCTTTTCTAGTGTATCTGTGTCTGTGTGTTGTATATATGTGTGTATCATGCAGGTGTGCATACGTGTGTAGAGCCCAGAAATCAACATCAGGTGTCTTTTATCTTTCTTGCCCCATCTTACATTCTGAGGCAGGGTTTTCAACGGAAACCAGACCTCACTAATTATCTAGTCTGGCTGGACAGGTTTTCCTTAATTCAGTGTTTTTTAAAAATATTTTTAATACCAACGAAAGTGTCATCTAAACCAGTTTTCTCTGAGCACTTACAGATGAAAGTCCTTAGGCTTCAAGAATTACTGTAGAGGAATGAGTTCTGGACTAGGAAGGTGGGTCTCAGTGTTGTAGGTGACGATTAATATTTACTATTGGTTTATCTTTTATTAAAGCTACTTAATCCTAAATAGCTGTATAACCAAATCACCACACAGA